GAGACAGAAACAACAGGAGTGTCATTTTCTCTAGTATCTGCAGCATATGTTAGTGGGCATAAAAAGATTTCTGCTGCATCAATCTGACAAACAAGAGACACACTAGCAGAAAATACAAAACATGAACTTATTTCTGGATGGGAAGGTCATGAAAACCTTAATCTGATTTCTATCACAATATATCACATTTATAATGTATAAAGTGTAATTGTAAAGTGTAATTGCGTAAATGTTTTGCTGACAAGTTTGGTTTGATACTTACAGCTGCCAGTGCTTGCTGGTTTGCCAACTGTCTGCGCAGATCCGACTTGATACAAGCTGAGATAAAGAACAGAAACACAATGAGACGCACATAATTACAGCTTTAACATTCAGTGTACTATCTACTAAAATGACTGATGCAACCTGTAAGCTCTAGTCTATCTAATCAGTATCTGAATTGTGAATATAAAATAGATGAATCCCTCAAAGAACATGTCCAGGTCACATTTCATCTCGAAAATCAAAAGAAAGAAATAATAAATAATGTTTTGATTTATTATATGAAGTCTATTCTTATGCATTGTGAAATTATTATTATTACAATTATATATTGCTCCCTTAAAAATGCAATAAATATTATAATACTTAAATAATGCAATAAATATTCACCCTAAAATGGATTTGATGTTCTTTAGGCAAAATAATAATAATAATTATTATTATAAAGATAATATAGAATAAAAACTAATAATAATAATAATAATGTGGAAGATCATTCTGATTGGACCTTTAAGATGCAAGTCTTTGTCAACAGAGAAACAAAGTTTAAAAGTAATTAAACTTAATTAACACATTATACAAGTTTATAATATTTAAAATATGTGCCAAGATGTACAACTCACAAACTAATATGAAGCAATACAGACATCACACACTCTGTGTTTGTACCCTGAAGGATTCTGGCTGTAACCGTCCCACAACAATGTTGCTTTTTCTACATTTACATAACCCAGTGGTCTTTTTCCCCCTGTGTTTAATAGCTCATACATTAACTGAAACATTAGAGGACACTGCAGCTTTCATAATGTCACATGAATTTTAATATACAATGCTTTCCAAGGAGCATTATCATCACCAGGAAGGAAGCAAAACATTCAAAATTAACTATAGTTTATAGGACCGGAGTAAAAAATAATAAACAGTTTCACAATCCCTCAAATATAAGCTCTATACTCGATTAAAGAGGAACAAATACTCAGGTAGATGAGAATTGCACAATCTGCACCTGTAATGATGGTTCCTACCAACAGGAAGGCACACAGGAAGAGATTTCCAGCCAGAGTATTAAACGAATCCATGATTTTCCCCTGACAGATTGTAAATATGATCCCGAATACCTGCAGTAAGAAATCACAATCATTAGGATTGCTGGTAACGCCATATAAACTCATATAAATCTCAATACAAAATAAGACACAACTCTTATAAACAACAAAATTATTATTAAATATCACACGCAAACCTGTGCAGAGCAGTTTAGAAGTCCTGAAGACGTCCCCTCAGACTCTGGGTAAGTCAATTCGACAGCAAACTCAAAACCAAGTGGAAGGTAACCCGTCATGAAGAACCTGCATAAGTAACACACAAACAAAACATCTAGGGCAAATTTATATATACAGTGCTGTGAAAAGGTTTTTGCCCCCTTCCTGTT